GTCTGTCAAACTTAAGTCTCAATCTTAATGTACACAAATTACATGTGTGTGACTGACTGAGTGTAAACAAAGGACTATGCACAAAAGCAAAATCGTTCAAGTTGCAACATTTCATGTAGCACACAAAGCAAGGCGAAACAGAAAATAAACAGTCGAAGAAACGGTAAAAAGCAGAAATTTGAGGGAGAAAGGAAAGTGACATGGAGAAACAATAGGGTTTTAATGGACATGGCTGCTCACAAAGTGTGAATTCATCTGAGCTATGAATGAGAAGGAGGATTTCGAGCCATATGACCACCCACCAGTCGTCATTGGATCTTTGAATCTCGAGGACTGCAACCAGTCAGGCAGTCTACACATCCCTACGTGGCTAGCTTGCTGGCTGGCTGACTGTCTGAAACCAACTGTCGGATGTTTGATTGACTGATACCGGCCAAGTTTTGGTCTGACCATCATCACTAGTGCTTTTCCAAGCTGATCGTATCTATGTCAGCTAACATTGCTTGTCGAGGAAGGCGATAGCTAGGCATGCATAGCACATGCCCTAGGCATCATCTCAATATTATTCAGTCTATTATACCAGCTGAAATGGGAGATAGAATGCAGACACACGTATGATGAAAGATAGCTAGCCAGCTTTTTCATGTCTTCCACATTCAATGGCCGTGTGTTACTCACTGCCATAAAGGAGGACGGAGCGAACTGCTGCTCGTCTGAAGTACACAACTTTAGTCCATAGCCAAATACCACACGTCTACGCCAGCCAGATATGACATAAATTGGCAAATGTCACACGAGCCAGTCATTCGTATCCGTGCTGAGATTTCGTCAGCAATCAGTCAATTGATTAGAACGGATGGCACTTCCTGAATCAGTGAAGTGGTGGTCAACACACTCTACCACTTGGCTCCCTATCAACGAATTTATTATTCAAGCTGTACAGTCGTATATATATATATACATGATTTTTAAGAAATTCAAACAAACGATGTGCGAATATTAAAAATAATAAAAAGAGTGGCAAATACGAGAAAAGAAACTTAAATCAATCCCTTCTGCTTTGCTATATAGGATATGCAATACATTTGTCTTCTGACTGTTTGACTCAGAACTTGGTGTTTGCTAAGAGCCACACATACAGCAGAAAACGAGGTTACTCAAACTGATCCACTGACCAATAAAAGCACGAAAGAATACTGGTCACTGACAGTACCAAAATGAAAGCCATGGATTCATGAATTTAGAAATCTAATGACCAGCAGGCTCCATAGAGATATGCTCAGAAATTGTCTTTCTAAGTCAGTCAGTAAGACGTCCTTTTTGTGGCGAAACTGCATTTGACTTTCATCAACTGTGGGTTGTTCTCTGTCTCTGTTGAAGATCAGCTCCCTCCGTCAGTGGTATCCCTCCTCTTGTGGAGTAAGGTGGTATACCAACTACATCCAGAGAGTGCTTTCCACATATGCATGGCTACGAGAGCACATTTCAGCATGGTTTTACAAGGGAGAAGGGAACGATGGTACGTGAAGCTCTATTCATTCTGGGACACTTAATCGACTTAAGTCACACCAGCAGCCCTGATAGACTGGCTGATCGATTTATTGATTGATTTCAAATTTCCAGCACGAATACAAAATACTAGTGTGAGATTTGTGAATTACTTACCTCATCCTTGGCTACTGATCAAAGGAAATGTTCACTGAATAGCAGTAGTTTGCTCCGTTTTTCATGCATGTGATGTACAGTCATGTACGAAAAGACTAGTTGTCTCTGATCACAAATGTTTGTGTTCCATCTACTATATCAAATGGTTAGATAAGGCTTAGTGTCAGGTAAGGAAGGGAAGTCGATCGATGAGACTGTGAAGCTACATTGATAAAAGAGATGACTAGGACAAGTGTGTCTCACACCGAGCCACCAATTTACACGACGCGCAATGTTAGCTGACATAGTATTAGTTTGGAAAATAGGTTGTGGTGATGAAACATAGGCTTGGAGTCAGTCCATGAAACCCTTGACAGTTAATTTAAGCCAGCCACGTAGGGAGATGTAGACTGGTTGGCTGTGTTTGGGGTCCTCGGGATGATAAGAACCAATGGCTGGAGACAATTGGTAATATGACTTAAAGTCGTTTTCAATGGTGCAGATGCATTCACTCTTTATGATTTATAATATCCAGTAAAAATGTATTGTCCTTCCACATTACTATTCTTGTCGCCTCATACTTCTGCTTTGATTATCTCTCTTTTGAATCTTTCTTTATTCTCTTCTCTTGCTTTTTGTGCTATATGGGGTGCGACAAATAGAAATGCTGCATATCTATGCAAAGTTCTATGTTGAAACCAGTCAGTCAGTGTCTGAAACTGAAAATCCAATTTACTATTCGGAACCCTCTCCTTGTATTTTTCTTGGGGGTGGGGGAAAAGGAATTTCATGAGAATTTATGCTCATATCAGTCACTAAACATGAGAAAATTTAACCGGAGTGTTGTTTGTTTGAATGGAGACAGGCAAATATCAAAACAGGCCTTGTTGAAACCTATTTTACAATGTGTAAATAAACAGTAACTTGAGACGGTGTTTTTCGGTGTTTTGAAACAGTAACTTATTACCAGCATTATTACTGTATACATTATTTTTTATTAACTTTAATTATTTTGCAGTTTCTTTATTTTCACTATTTTATTTATTTACTTTAACTAAAACACAGACTTGGTATACATTATGGGAACCAAGAGGTGCACCACATAAAATCTCATAGTTTGTGCACGAGGGCAGGGATACTTACTGCCCGGATGCATAGACCCAAGCAGATAGTTGTCTTAAGGAGCCACTCTCCCACCCGAAGCCTTTGATTCGAAGTCTGACCCACAAGACAGTTTAGTGAAGCACCGTCAGGAATTGCTACGTTCTCACAGTTACCAGTGACTGAAACACGTCCACCACACACCATTCGATCCCTTCGGGTTCTGAAGCCCATGTAAACACCACTGGTTCGGCATCAGGATTTTCTAGCTCCCCTAGGTAGACCTATATATGGACTCGTTACAAGCGCCTTCATCCTTTCACCTTTGTGAGGAATACCAATCATATCGCGTGAAGGAGGTAAATATGATAACTTACCTGACGGCAGAGACTATGAACGCGTGGTCAAACGACAGCATTTCAGGAGAGTGAGGAAGGCTGAAGTCTACACACCCTCGGTTATACTAGGTAGTTTGTGAAGCCATTCTAAACAATAATTTTTATATAAGATGGAATTTTCAACATTCTGTACATATATTTCAATAATTTATTTTCTTTTACAAATAAGAACTGGTAGGGCCATGAGTGGATAGATTTCCGTCTTTTTCTCCCTTTGCATTCATCACAAAAGTGATTTAGCGAATGCAAACATTTGGTGCTTACAACTGAGCTAGTTGGTGGACATGCTGGTCTACGTACCTCCCTAGGAGAGCTGGAAAATCATGATTGATTTCACCACCTACGACTGACTGACAGATTGACTCACCACCTACGGTATGTACATGGCCTGTAGAATCTGGACGGATAGAATGGCATATGATGAGCCTGGTTTAGTCAACGGAAACCATGGGAACACAGTTCGTGACGGTATTCGACTGCGGATCAGACCTCAAGTTAAGGGCTCCACGGGGGGGGGGGGGTAAGCTTTTAAGACAACCACCCAATTCAGTTTGGACAGTATCTCGGCCTTTGTATCTCTTACTGGTGTATTTAATGTACCAACAGTTTGAGTTTTAATGGTAATAATTAAAATTGAATGGAATAAAGTGATTATTATTAGCATTAAAACAAGCTTACAAGACGCTTCGTTTTCTATTGACAATTGTATAAGCCTCATCATAAGATAAGCAATTCTGTCGCATAATGTAAGCGATGACAACACTTGCACTACGTGACACTCCCATAGCACTAAAAAGAAGCATTTTAAATTTTATTCCTTTCAATTATTCTTACCAATGCACTAAGATGCTCGACTGTTTTATACTACGCTCGATAAAAATTAATGCATCTTCAAGTATATCTAACAAGTCCTGTGTAGGTTCATCACGAAGATAGATATACTTCCTATTGAATTCTTTAAAGACAACAGGATCCAACGGTAAAATATCCAACGTGAGAATTGATAATATTCCATGTTTTTTCAGCGTGGGAATATTTTCTGAAAATGGCATTGGACCAAGCCATAAATTTGGGATAATTTCATCCATATTTTGAGGAAAGCCGAATGCTCTGAAGAAGAAATGAAATAAGTTGAAAAGATCAAGGCATCTGTAATCTGTGGTATTTTGAAAGGACAATGTGAATAATAACAAGATCACAAATGAGGTCACTCACAGACAGACTGAGTTTCAACTATGCACAGAAGTACACCAGCCACTCAAATTGCCAAAGAAACATGGAAAAACACGAAAACTTAGTATATATTGGAGATCCCAATGAGTGAATACTTCTACGCCACTGACAGTCATTGGTTCTTAGCATCCCAAAGACTCTAACAAGGCACTTTACACCTGCATATGTGATTGGTTAGAACCAACACTCAGAATTCGTAGATTGATTCGATGTTTTCGTTTCACTAACCTTAACTCTTCCAAGCTAATTCTATATGGCTAACACAGATCGTCGAGGAAGGTAGCAGCTTGGCATGTTTAACACAATGTAGCTTCACAACCGCATCGATTGACTTCCCTTCCTTACCTAACAATTTACGTCTACAACCTCGAAATCGCTCACCCTATTATACTGATTAACACAGGACACAGGAGGCACATACAGCTAGCCAGCACTTTCATATCTTCTACTTTCAATAACGTCCATGTCTCGCTCATAGCCACACAAACAAAGACAGACAGCTGCTGCTGTTGTGTAGTACACGCGTTCACTGATCAACAGATGGATATTGCATCTACGGCAGAAATGCGATAAGTAATGACACCTGTAATGATTTCAGTTATTTTTATTGTCAATATGCCCTGAAGTTTGAATTAGATTTCATCTGATTTTGCGTCGGTGGTACAGCGGTTAGGACGCTCGCCGACCATGCACATGGTCTGGGGTTTGATCCCCGGCCGACGCACTCCTTTACCTCGTTGAGCCAGAAATAATGCTGGTGAAGAGGAAAGGTTGGGCATGAGGCTAGCAACCCCATCCCGTAAAAGTTAACACCACTGCTACAGAAACTTCAAGCCATTAGCTTGAAGCCCTATGTTCCACTGGGAAACGTGAAGGAAAAAAAAATTGCCTAGGTAACTAAGGTAATATTGTAACAAAAGAAGACAAGAGTCAGGCAACAGATCGTTTATTAAGGAAAATCAACAAATATTTATAGATTTTAATGTACATTATTGTAGATTATTGTTAGTAGAAAATACAGTCTTTTGATTGGTTGTTTCTCACAGAAAGTTAACCTTGCTGTGTCAGATCATCCATATGCTGTGTCCGACTACGCAAAGCCTTTGTTCTCATTTTCTCACCACCAATATTGGGGACAAACATTGACGTCAATTACTGTCTACCAACTTTGGCTAGCAGCCAGCTCTCACCACTATATCAATAACCCCACAGATAATAAATGTGACTTACAGCTAGACAGCGGACTTTTAACAACATTGTCATTATTAAAACAGGTTTCCCTACGCCGCCTACATGATTAAAGTAGGGGTTTTCAGATATTTTCTCTTATTCCTTTGAGTTTCAAGTAGAATATAAGGCTTCAGGGTTGAGCTTAGAAGTTTCGGTAGCAATGGTTGCATTTTTACAGGATGGGGTTGCTAGCCTCACGCTTAACCTTCCCTCTATGTCGGGTTCAATAACAACCTAGCGAGGTTTAGGAGTGAATCGGCTCCTCGAATCGAACCCTGGACCACGTACGTGGTTGGTGATCATTATATCACTGAAATACAGACTCAGTGGCTGAATGATCTACGAGCTTGCCTTGTGACCTGAAGGTTCTGAATTCGAACCCTGGGGTGTGTACTGATGAAAAGTCCCGAACAGCTGTCTAGTTTTCAGATATAAATATATAAATAAAGCTCTCACTACTTGCTGAAATACCTAAAACAGAAGGTGGAGTATTAGTAATTTTGAGTAACGGCAGAGCCCCGGGTTGAACAACAGCTTGATGTTGATCAAGCTCACACATAGCCTGTTTGAAGTGATTTTTGAAGTTGCGCGTCCACACAAAATCTTATCACCAACTGTACACCACTGTAACGTAAGTTGGGACGCGCAATTTTAGAGATCGACCTCATAACCTCCGAAGTGTTGTCCAGAACTGAAAAGCAGAATAATTGGCTTGCTGGTGGTTTGAGGGGAACACCGTAATACTGTCACACGAGATCCTTAGTTGTAAAACTCCATCCTTCGACCATGGACATAGTGCAAACGACTAACAATACGTGATGGTAACTGCTCTTGGTCAAACCGCTATCCAATAGAACATTTTAGCATCTTAGGGCTTGCAAGGACAGCATTGAGCAATGATTTTGATTTGTAAACTCGACTACTACATCAAGATAGAAGTTATCACTCATATATATATATATATATATATATATATATCGGGAGCTTGTTAAATTACACATGATTTGCACAAAACTTAATTACTGCAAACAGAGATGCAGCTTAAATAATTGCGTCACACCACTAATTTTCTACATATTGTATCCAAATGAAAAATTACTTGATATAGACAACTTGAATAGCTACCAGGGTACTGACCTTTCTATTCTTTTCCCTTCTTCAAAGAGAGACAACTATGAGAACATAACATAGGTGGAATTCAGAATCTTACATAGAGATATGAACGACTGTGACTTAAGTCACGCACACGCTCGGCACACTGCAGAAAGTTCCACAACGTCAGGCGAATATATGTTTCACGTCCCGATGTGCGTCTAACCCTGTAGGTCCTAATGCTTTTACTAGGTGTGTCGTTACTTGATAAAGTGTATCTACTTCATCTAGTAATGCCTTCAAATATAAACTAGATCCTCACAGAAACACATCGCAAGAATTAATACATGCTACACTAGTCTACAACCTTGCCCAGTCAACTAGCTTACTAGTTTTCTAGTTGATCCCAAGCCCGAGTAAAGAGGTAGGGTTGGGCGTGGAGCTAGCAACCCTACACCACAAAAGCTACCAAACTGCTAGAGAAACTTCAACACACAAAAATATATTAAAAATCCAAATAACAATCTTATTTTTCGCTGGATTCGGAGGGGCGAAATGACACAGCGAGCTAGTGAAAGCCCAACTTCGGGAAGCCAATCAGCTACCCAATGTATCTTCTTTGGACGAAAGCAAGAAGAAGAATGGGGACGTGGAATGTCCGTACGATGTACGAGACTGGGAAGGCCGCCCAAGTAGACAAGTAAATGCGAGGATATGGAATAGAAGTGCTGGGTATCTGTGACAGCAGATAGAATGGATGTGGATTATCGAAATTGTCGACTTGAGTCAGTAATCTACTCCGGTCACCCAGACGACAACCACGAGCAGACTGAGGGAGTAGCTCTAATGATGTCACCAGCGGCAGCCAAAACCCTAATGCAGTGGGAACCAACATCATCCCATATCATGACAGCAAGATTCAACTCAAAAGGGAGGAAGTTTACAATTATCCAATGCTACGCACAATGCTACAAACAACACGGAACAGGAAAAGAAGGAAGATTTTTACAGACAACTACAAACAATAATGGACAATATTCCAACAACAAAATCAAAATCCTCATGGGCGATATGAATGCTAAACTGGGGGGGGGGGGGCAGATAATACAGTAACAGAACATTCGCAGACTTCTGAGCTTCCAATGATTTGGTGATCGGATGCGGCGCGTACAGGCATAAGGATATACACAGAGCAACATGGATTTCGCCTGCCGGGAATACCACAAACCAGGTAGATTTCATCTCAATGTTGCTCACGAAAGTGGAGATGCAGGCAGCCTGCTGGACACAAAATCGAGAAGGGGAGTAGATGTGGGCTCAGACCATAACCTAGTTCTAGGAAACTTCAAGGTGAAGCTGAAATCCTTCAGAAGAGACAGGCCACAACTCAAGTTCAACAATCAGAAACTGAAGGACAAAACTACAAGGGATGCCTTCACTACAGATCAGAGTAAAGTAGGAGACACTACGTAGCATCATTGAGGAAACCTGCGTGGAAGAACACTGGAACTTTCTGAAGGTGATGTTTAAGGAAATGTGCACAATCTTTCTAAGAAGGAAGAAAAAACAAGGCCAGGAATGACTCTCAACAGACACCTACCTGGAAGCCAAAAGAGGAGAGGAGAGGAGGATGGTGGAAGAGGTGACCCAATGCAAAGATGGACAACAGAAGAAAAAACTGAGTTCTCAGCAATGAACGCTGCACTGAATAGAGAAGCGAAGACGAGTGCTAGGGAAGACAAAAAACAATTCTACGACACACTGACTGGCTACTGAAGCAGAACGGGTGGGCCGTAGGTAAGAGAGACCTCAGAACATTATTTCAGGTAACTAGGCTGCTCGCTATCCGGGAAGAGATCAACCCAGATGATGAACCCAATAAAAGGTGCTCAAGGGAACCTGATTACCAGGGAGGAGAAACAAATAAAGCAATGGGCTGATCACTTTAAAGGACTCTTGAATCGACCATCACCTGCAACTCACCGAGAAATACACCATCATCAACAGGACGCACAGAACTGCCTGCCACTGGACACCAGTCCTCCAACCAAAGCAGAAATCCTAAATACAATCAAGCTACTGAACGCCTGCAGGGAAGGCAGCAGCACCAGACGGAATTCCTCCCGAGCTACTGAAAGCAGACCCAGAGACTGCAACGTGTGCGCTCACGCTAATATTGCAAACAGTTTCGAAAGAAGGAAAGGTACCTACCGATTGGAAGAAAGACTGGCTACCACATCAAGCTGCCAAAGAAGGGCGACTTATGCCTCACATTGCAAGAACTGGCGTGGAATAATGCTCTTGTCCACTCCAAGTAAAATAACAAGTCGCATCATCCTGGACAGAATAAACGATGCACTGGATACAGAACTCTACCCCCTATCGGAACAAGCTGGATTCAGGAAAGGTGAATCATGTGCTGATCAAATTTTATTTTATTTTTTGATTTACAGCTTGATTCCACACCGTATATACAAGTGTGGAATTTTCAGCATGGATATCGGTAGCCCAAATTCAGGCCGACCATAGATATCGGGTGTGCGCCGGCAGGGGATCGAACCCCGGACCATGTGCATGGTCGGCGAGAGTCCTAACCGCTATGCCACCGACGCACTACTACTCATCTACTCATCGTCATCACAGAACGAAGCGTAGAATCGCAGTCAAACCTTTCTCTACTTCATCAAATTCATCGACTTCGAAAAGGCCTTCGACAGACAGCGTTGACCGAGACGTAATTTGGAAACTAATTCAACACTATGGCGTGCAGTGCTGCAAATATTTATTAACATTATTCGGTAGCTGGCTATATGACAATGCACGTGTCATGTGATCCACAACGGAAAACTCAGCGAGGCGTTCGAAGTGCATACAGGAGTAGACGAGGCAGTCTGACTACTATTACCGATGATATTCTCAATTGTGGTAGTCTGGATTATGCGTCAAACTGCGATTGAGGAGCGAGGAGACAGGAATACGCTGGACGACAGATAAGAAGACTCTAGAAGACCTGGATTTCGCAGATGATACATGTCTAACGTCACACAAACTCGAAGATTTGCAGGCGAAAATCAAAAAACTGGCTGAAGAGGCAGCGAAGATAGGACTCCAAGTAAACATAGAGAAGACAGAGGTGATGAGAATAACCAACAACAACAACAACAACCAGCACCAATCACCATCAACGGGAGAGGTTTGAAAGCTGTTACTTCCTCCACTTATCTAGAAAGCATCGTTTCAACCACAGGCACACAGAACGGATGAAGATGTCAAAGCCAGTCAGAA